AGTCGCTGACAGAAAATAGTGGTTGATTTCAATGTTTCGTATTTACTCTTCTCTTCTCTCATAAGTCTATTCGCGCGAAATAGTCTTTGGTAATTTTAACAGCTTGTGAAATTCAGAAGCATTGAGACAAAGACCCGAAAGTACTCAGCCAAGCGCGCCTTGTCAGAGACTGTCTTTTACCAGCTTCGGAAGTCACTTAATATAGCGACAGAGAGTTTATTCATCTGTTTATTAGCGCGGAATAGTCTTTGACAGAAAACAGTCGACGCCTTCAGTGTTTGATATCTCTGTTTCTCTATTTTCATGAGTCTATTGGCGCGGAATAGCTGTTGAATGCAGACCACAGACGTCCTTAACTGTTGATATTCTTGTCTTCTGATTTTCATGAGACGATTCGCTATAAACTTTCTTTGTATCCAAATTGTGGACGACTTTAAAGTCTGATACCTAAGCGAGAGCTAAAAGTATTCTGCCAACCGAAATTTATAAGAAACTTAGTTTTGACAACTGCGGAAGTTACAGACCATTGAGACAGAGAGTTAGAAGTATTCAGATAAGCGCGCCTTATAAGAAACCGTAAGAATTGTAGAGGACTTCAGTTCTTCATAATTCTGTTTCTGAATTTTCATGAGTCGATTCGCGCGGAACAGTCGCTGACAGAAAATAGTCAACGATTTCAATGAATTGTATTTCTGTTTCTCAACTTTCATGAGTCGATTCGCGCGGAATAGTCTTTGACAGAAAACAGTCGACGCCTTCAGTGTTTGATATCTTTGTCTCTCTATTTTCATGAGTCGATTTGCGCGGAAGTGTTGTTGAATGAAAACTACAGATGTTATTAACTTTTCATACTTTTGTTTCTCGAGTTTCATGAGTCGATTCGCAATAAACTTTCTTTGAATCCAAATTGTGGACGATTTTAACGCCAAATACCGCTGCCTTTCAATTCTCATCAGTCGATTGGCTATAAATTTCCTTTGAATCAAAACAGTGGAAGACTTTAAAGCGCTATATCTTTGCAATTCAATCTTCATGAGACGATTCGCGCGGAACAGTCTCTGACAGAAAACTGTTGACGACTTCAAAGCATTATATTTGTTGTTCTCTTCTTTCATGAGTCGATTCGCACGGAATAGTTGTTGTATAAAAATTACAGATGTCTTCAAGTTTTCATATCGTTTTCTCTCGAGTTTCATGAGTCGATTGGCTTTAAAAATCTGTTGAATCAAAACCGTCGATGTCTTCAACGACTCATACTTTTGTCTCTCAATTTTCATGAGTCGATTCGCGCGGAAAAGTCTTTGAATAAAAACTGTTGAGGACTTCATGTTTTCATATCTTTGTTTCTGAAGATTCATGAGTCGATTCGCGTGGAATAATCTCTGACAGAAAACAGCTGAAGACTTCAATGTCGTGTATCGGTCTCTCGCGGCACTCATGAGTCGATTCGCTCGAAACAGTCTTTGACAGAAAATAGTCGATGCCTTCAATGTCTGATATCTTTGTCTCTCTATTTTCATGAGTCGATTCGCGCGGAAGTGTTGTTGAATGAAAAGCACACATGTCTTTAAGTTTTCATACTTTTGTTTCTCGAGTTTCATGAGTCGATTCGCAATAAACATTCTTTGAATCAAAATTGTCGCCGATTTTAACGTCAAATACCGATGTCTTTCATAAGAGTAGTCAGCTAACCGATATTTAGAAGAAACTTAGTTTTGACACCTGCTAAAGTTTCACAATATAGCAAACCTGAGTTAGAAGTACTCAGCTAAGCGCGCCTTATCGCTAACTCACTTCTCTTCCGATGTCTTCAGACTTTCAAACCGTTGTCTCTCGAGTTTCATGAGACGATTGGCTTTAAACTTCCTCTGAATCAAAACAGTGGCCGCTCTCAGAGTTATATACTTTTGTCGGTCAACTTTCAAGAGTCTATTCGCGCGAAACACTCGCTGACATAAAATTGTGGACGACTTTAATGTTTCATATTTTCGCTTCTCCTCTTTCATGAGTCGATTCGCGCGGAAGAGTTGTTGAATGAAAGAGACGGATGTCTTCAATTTCTGAAACCGTTTTCTCTCGAGTTTCATGAGTCGATTCGCTCTAAACTTTTGTTGTATGAAAAGTGTCGATGATTTCAAGGCTTCATAGCGTTGTTTCTCTTCTCTCATGAGTCGATTCTCGCGAATATTAATCAAATTCTGGCGAAACTTTCTCTGAACCAAAGTCGTGTAGTATTTCAATGTCTGAAACTTTTGTCTCTCAATTCTCATCAAACGATTAGCTCTGAAGCGGCGCTGAATAAAGAGAATGGACTCGTCGTATAACTGCTTCTCGAATAAGATCTGATCGGTTCTGTGTTTGAATATAATGGCGTCCAACAACTCGAACGTCTAGAAGGCCACAGGCGATTGTTATAGAAACCGTTGTTACGGAAGCCCTTGCTACAGAAACTTGCGAAACTCGCGGTGAAGTTGCAACACATTGAAAGCCCATTATAATAACCGGCCTTTATCGTCAACAGGCAACAGTTGTGTGCTCTGAGTGGTCAGTTCTGCGAGTCTGGCCAGTCGTATACCGCACCGCAAATCGACGGCCAAATTACACACTTCGAAGTCGAACTCTTCGATCGGTGTCTGTTTATAAGCGATAGAAAAGCCGGAAACGCGCAGATGTTTAGTGATATCGCCGACACCAGTGATGTAATCGCGTGCAAACGATATGATCAGATCCAGAGTAGACTTGTGTTGAGAGTTGAGGCGAAAGAGACACGGATTGTGTTCAATGAGAGCGACGACAAACCGCCGCAGGTTCTTCAAGTTGTTTACGTTCTTAGCGTTGTTTTACATAAAGAACCGGAGTAAATGCACTTGCAGCAGAAACTTCTTCACTCACTATCAGAACACCGGCATAAACCCCATCAATTCCTTCGATACCAACAGATTTTGCGCAATAAATTTGCCTAAAGTTAACCGCATTTGAGACCAAGTGATGGACGTGATCTCAATCTTCTCATTATAAATGGTTTCTAAACCGATTCGAAGCCAAAGAGGATTATAAGACAACAACAGATCCATTATATGTTTGCGGACCCCGACGTCCGCGTGAATCGCCCGATCCTTACGGACAGCGAACTTATTGTTGTCAATGTCTGACATTATCTTTCGGTTAATTGCTGTCATTTCTTTGGATCGATACAAAGCTGTGGCCGTAGATCTGAGTTGATTCCATTTGACGGCTTCTCTATAGGTTTGTGCAGACATTTGCTCTTTTGTGGGACAAACCGAAAGATTAACTTTCGTTGAATTGAAACAATCGATAATCAATTGGTTTGAATCCACTTTCGGTTCGTTGCGTTCGTCGGCCTTCGGCGCCAGCATTACGTTAATCCAAGACATGTACTGAATCTGTTCGACGCCCAGACAATACTTGGACGCCGACGACGGCGTCGACGCCACCAACGATTCCCGAAGCGACGACTTATTCTTCGGAGTCATCAGCGAGAAGGAGGTACTGCTGGAACCGCTCGATCGGCGCTTCTTCTTCGTAGTGGTGGCGCTGGGAATCAAATGGAAATGAGTTCTGGATTTAGGCGAGTGAAACTTTCAGACCGCGGCTTCTCTACTCAGGTTTGACCCGGCTGCCCGCCCGCAGCAGAAGCTTCCGCAGTTGAAGAAGAACTCAAACCCGCCGTTAGCAACGCCATGACTCTTCAACACTAGAGTTCCAGAGGTTGTGTCCACATTCACAGAGTTCTCGCCGAACGGAATCCAATTCAAGCCGAATGTCTTCGACTTCTTTGGCGGCCGTTTGTCCGCATTCTCGGAGTCGTTGTCGGCGTTGTTGTGGTCGTCGTTGCGGTCCATCGGAATCCAGTCGAGTCCACTGCAGGCCTCACTTTCGCCCGACGATTCACTGGTCGTCGCGTCGGCTCTCTTTCGCTTCACATCATTGGTGTTCACGTCTTGGGCGACGACACCAGCGGTGGATGTGTTGTCGTTGTCTTCAAACGCTATCCACGCGAACGCATTCTTCTTCTGCGGCTTTTCGTACGTTTTGTTCATATTTTCGGTCATTCTTTTGGCGGACAGTCTTTGCGGTCAAAGACTTTGCCGACAATTATAAGCGAAAAACGACTCAACGATTGGTTTAATGAATGAAAACAAAGACTTTTAAATTGAATTGATTTGAAACAAGTATTGAATAAAACAAATGACAGAAACGTATCGTTCAGTCAAACAGTGTTTCAAATGTGAAATGATTTTGAATTTTGTATTATTTTTTAACGCCTTTTAACGCTTTTAAATGCTTGGAGTATTCGTTCGTCTCATTGGTTGAACGCGTTTCAAACCTCGCTTCTCATTGGCTGTTACTATGCGTTGCGTTGTTATAAAATTGAACTTTAGAATCAAAATTTTAGATGCATGTAAACATTAGTATTAATAAATTACGTGACTATTTAATGAAATGATTTGATCATAAATAAAAATTTATGTAACATTTTATTTTGGTACTATTTTGAACTAAACTTATTCATTGACTATATTATATGTTATTGACTATAAAAAGGCCTAAAACTACTCCACAATTATAATAACACATAAAGCGTTTTAACACATGATTTGCATTCACCGGCCATATTGTGTCACATGACTAGTATTCAGCTGTAGAGGCGATACAATCTATTATCGATATAAATTGCATTTTTAAACTTAATTTAATTAACAATCAAAATTAATTAGTGTTTTACTTAATTTTATTGCGACAATACTTCACACCATATATACAAATGGGTCGACAGAAAAACATATAAACTATTATAACAACCAAACCGTTTAACAGTAATCATTGTTTCCATTACCAAAGTTATACTGTAGATACAGACTATACACAGAAAATCACATGTTTTTTGTTTGTGTTTGAAATGTTTGCCACAATTTAATGGACAAAAGTTTTTTGATCACAAAAACAGATCCAAAGAGTTGTGTTAAGTCGTGAACCAAATGCCGTCCTTTGAGTTGCGATACGCGCCGTACGTCTGGCGGCTATTGAATGGTGTCTTCGTTGTCCATAAACCACATAATAAGACCGTTTTGGCCACTCGTCGGTCACTTCTCAAGAAACTATGCGATGGTATACCTCTTCCTCCTCTTCGGCCACTCATTATCGTGTGATTTAATCATTATATTTGATATCATTGTCAATGCAATCCAGAACTCAATTCCATGGAGTGTCGACCGCCGCGAGAGTTGGTCCACATCTCTGGCCAACTGTCGAGCGGCGAGAGTCTGAAAGTGGAGACCAGACAGAGCTTTGCCGACGACCCGCTTGTTGTCGGCCAACGATATCAACCGCAAGACTTCTCGCTCTCAATCGCCAATAATCCCGGTTTCTTCGCGTCCGGTGTTGTCGTCGTATTCATTGGCCGAATGGCCAAAAGTGCCGCCGATTTTCAAAATGGACAGCATTTGAGGGTTTATGAAATGAAAGGCCGCTTCGGTTTCGCGACCGACAACTGCCGATCGGACGGCAAAATCATCGAAAAGTCGCAAATATGCTTTATATTCATGGAACTAATGCCTAAACATTTGCTACAAACAGTCCCTATGGAGAGGATATATAACGAGAAAACATATTCACGAAGAGAATGCGAAGATTGAGAAGGCTTTCCAACGGATACTGACGTCCACATCATTGGCGACCGCAGACATGCAGTTAGGGAACCGGACCTATAATGCGCTCCAAAAGCTTCTGGCATACGATTCGCTGTTAACATTGGCTCACGATTTGGATGCTTTGGATCGCACGACACGACTGTCACCCGAATCGTGCGAAACGCTTGTTATATACGATGCCATTAGAATTCTTCTTCAAATACTGCATGAATCTAATCGCAGCGAACCTCACAAACAGATCATCGCTCTCACTGTCAATATACTCCTCAATATTGCAAAAGTGAGTCCTATTTTCATTGATTTTATTTGTTATATAACTCTAATTATGTATATTTTGTTTGTTTGAAAAGTATGAGAAAACGTATCCAAATGTGGTATCAAATCCGCAAACGATCGAAATATTATTCAAATTAATCAAAAGCTTTGGTCGAAACGCTCCGAAACTGATTTGCAAGTGTTTTACTCTATTATGGATTCTATTGGATAACAACACTATTTCTGCGGTAATTTTAATTTTGGCCAAAATTATGGATAATTATTAATTACTTGAAATTAATGCATTGTTTGTTGTGAACAGAATATAATGAAAGACAAACGCAAAATGGAAGCGCTTAAACAGATCAGCGATTTCTACAAGAAAGACAAGGCTTTTAAGAAATATAAACTGAGAACTGATTACAAGTTTTGTCCGAATTGGCAAATCGGCAGAAGAAATATCCACGAGTTTGACAATCATTTCATTGCCATTCAAGTGATCGTTCGTCGCTTGAAAATTGATAATTAATATGTATTTTATTTCATTTCCTCTGTATTTAAACATCTATTTACCAAATAATACCCTTTCATCTGATTTTTATAATTCTTGTGCGAAATACTTATATTTTATACTCATTTCTAAATAAAATGTATTCATATTTTATAATTGTTTGGTGCGATTAATGACTTGATAATAATGATCACTACTGAATAGCAATTTTCAATTATTCAAATATATTTGAATTCGATTCAAAATAATGATAGAAATAACGCAATGTTTGTAAAGATTAGGAACAAGTAATACAGTATTTAAAACTTTACAATCATTTTGAATATTTAAAAAGAAATTTCATTTGACAAGAGTTGTAATGAATGAGACATTGAATGTGTTTTAATATATTTTAATCAATTTGAGAGAAGTCTTACATTGGAATCAATTGTTGAAAGCATTTGAAAAGAAAAATAACACAAAAGTAAGACTTTTTACATCGAAAATAATAGTGAAATTTTGCGGTCGATTGGGTTTTGTGTCTTGAATTGGGAGATGTGTTTCACTGCTTCTTGCCTTTCCTCTCAACCCACGGGTGTTTGCAAACGTCACCGATGGTCGGCCGCGCGTTCTCCTCCTCTTCCCAGCACTTGTATTGCAAATCCTTGCAATCGGGAGAGTATTCTTTGGCGAAACGGCCCTCAATGTACTTGCGGTCAGTCTGTTCTTTATACATCTTCTTGGGATCAACGCAATGAAAGGGCCACTTGTTGTTGAGCATGCGAAACAACACTACGCCCATCGCCCACACGTCCGCCGCGAACGGGTTGTACTCCTTCAACAGTACTATCTGTGGGCAGACATAGGGTTTAGTGCCGCAGAAGGTCTTCGAGAGTTTGGGTTTGTCCTGATCCGAGTCCCACGAGTCCTTCGCGAAGCCAAAGTCCGTGAGTTTAGCGCTGGTCTGCGATTCGTTGAGCATAATGTTGTCCACTTTGATGTCTCGGTGACACATATGCAGCTTCTCGTGCAGATACTGAAGGGCACCGCACGTCTGGCTGAACCACCAGCCGGTCTTCTCCTCGGGAATCGCTCCGTGTTTCTGGATATAGCCCGCGATGTCTCCGCCGCCGCAGAACTCCATAAAAGTATAAATTTTATGGTTAGCTACAAGAATGTCGTATATAACGCAAGCGTTTTCGTGTTTGACGCTAATAAGTGCGGCCAACTCTCGCGGAAGGAACTTCTCTTTGAACAACTCGCTGACTTTGTTTAAATCTATGACTTTGACGGCCACCAACTCATCGGTTTTGGTGTCGACGGCTTTGTACACCTGTCCAAAAGCACCCTGTGCCAACTTCTTCTCCAATCGGTAGCCCTTCTTCTTGAACACCGCATCTGTCTTCGGATCCAATAAATAATTGTCAACAATGAAGGGGTGTTTGCAAACGTCACCGATGGTCGGCCGCGACTCCTCCTCCTTTTCCCAACACCAGAATTGCAATGTCTTGTATTTTTTGGAATACATGGGATTGATTTGCTTTTTAAGATACTTGCGGTCAGTCTGTTCTTTATACATCTTCTTGGGATCACCTGTATGAAAGGGCAGATCTTTGTGTCTCATTACAAACAACACGACGCCCATCGCCCACACGTCCGCCGCGAACGGGTTGTACTCCTTCTTCATCACAATCTGTGGGCTATAATAGGGTTCAGTCCCGCAGAAGGTCTTCGAGAGTTTGGGTTTGTCCTGATCCGCGTCCCACGAATCCTTTGCGAAGCCAAAGCCAATGAGTTTAGCGCTGGTCTGCGATTCGTTGAGCATAATGTTGTCCACTTTGATGTCTCGGTGACACATATGCAGCTTCTCGTGCAGATACTGAAGGGCACCGCACGTCTGGCTGAACCACCATATGGTCTTGTCTTTGGGGATAATGCCATTGCGTTCAATATAGTTCCCGATGTCTCCGCCGCCGCAGAACTCCATAAAGATATACATTTTATGGTTGGCGCGAATGATGTCGTATATAACGCAAGCATTTTCTTGTTTGACGCCAATAAGTGCGGCCAACTCTCGCGGAAGGAACTTCTCTTTGAACTTCTCGCTGACTTTGTTTAAATCTATGACTTTGACGGCCACCAACTCATCGGTTTTGGTGTCGACGGCTTTGTACACCTGTCCAAAAGCACCCTGTGCCAACTTCTTCTCCAATCGGTAGCCCTTCTTCTTGAACACCGCTTCTGTCTTCGGATCCAACTCTACTTTCGTGTCCTTTTCTTTACCCATATTTTGGCCAAAACTATGATCTATTGTTTGCTTTCAATAATTCACTGCAAATGTTAACCGCTTTCTAACTTTGATTTCAAATTCATAATCAATTCTTGCACTCAAATGCATTGTTGGAAATGGAAATTCAATATTTTATTGAATACAAAATTAAATCAATTTAATAAATATTTTCTGTATTAAAATGAATTTAATAATTTATATATTGGTAACTATAATACAAATGAAATAAAATTACAAAAAATATATTAATAGTAAACTGATATCTAATAATAATATGCAAATATCTACGAGTCGTTGTCTTTAATGCCATACAACATATTAATAGAGTTTTGATAGTGTTTTTGAACCTTATTTCGCTTAATCTTGAAAGCAGTGGTCACTAAACCAGAATCAGGAGTCCATTCTTCGGCGCATAACTTAATTTTGTTGGGAATTTCACTGTTTGTTAGTTTAGACTGTTTTCCCTCTCGTCTAACGACATCCAAAACTTTTGCAATGATATCGTTGTCGTCACACAACTGGTCAAAAGTCATATTACTTTTGGACAAACTCTTTGCCAATTCATCCAATTCTTTGCGATTCGGTGTAATTAATGCAATCAAATAATCGTGTAGTGGATGGCCATAAACACAGAGATTGTCCACAAATGGACACATCCTGAGAACTTCTTCCACCTGAACATGGGATCAATTAATTCATTGTTATTACAATTATTGTTTTAATGAAGTTTTTGGTCAATACTTTTGCTAACGATATGTATTCTCCTTTTGACAGTTTAATGATATCTTTTTTCCTGTCAATGATTTTGATGTTTCCGTTCGGACCAATCTCTCCGATATCTCCAGTGAAGAACCATTTGACGCCATTCTCTTCCTTAAAGCACTCTTCAGTCAGTTTATCGTTTTTGAAGTAACCCTTCGCTACGGTTGGGCCGCCGATAATCAACTCTCCCCTCGGGTTGGGTGTGTCGGTCACCCTATAGTTGCCTTCAACCCAATCAACTAATTTAATTTGGACGCAATCCAGAGGCGCGCCAACAAAACCGACGCTAAGGTCGTCCAAATCGGAAACCGTTGAGGCGGCGCACGTCTCTGTCAGACCGTAACCTGTTTTTCATATTAAATACAATTATGAATAAACAAACAAACTGACCATGGTGATGGTTATAATGAAGATATGCTAGACTTACCCTTAACTGTTCGCACATCAAAGCAATTGCGAATAAATAGCTCCGTATGGGGTGAGAGGGGGGCACCGCCTATAGCTATGAATTTTACTTTTCCGCCTAAAGTGGGCTTAAATTGCTTACAAAATACTGAACTGATTAGAGGAGTATCGGATCCTCTCTTAGACCAGAAGTCCTTTTGACGATAGAAAAAATTGAACAATAGTTTTGTGAATGGATTTCGGTTAACGACTCCTTCGATAGCGATACGAATCCTGTCTAATACGAGGGGAACGGCTGTCAGAATTGTCGGCTTAAGCAAAGTCAGGTCGCCTTTGGTTCCACTCTTGAGTCCATTCGACTTATCAGTGAGTGTATGAATAGATCCAAAACCGACGGTCACGCCATTGCTTATGAAGAAGAGATGAACAGTTAATTCAAAGATATGCGCCAATGGAAGGTAAGAGCAGTAGATTTCGTCCGAATTGAAATCTTCCGCAAAAAATCTCAACCCCTTTATGACTGTCAACAGATTTTTATGCGATATATTCACTCCTTTGGGAACACCAGTCGATCCCGAGGTATACATAATGACAGCCGTGTCCTCAGCGTTCGGTTCCCCGCCTTTCAGATGTTTTTGCTTTTTTCCTATTTCTTCGATTTGAGACAATGGATGGAAACTAACTCTTTGTCTCTGCTCTTCAGTGAACATACTCTTGAGATCGGGTTCTTTGGGTCCATCCATATATACAATGGATTTAACAGCCGATAACTTGTCGAGAATTGGAGCCAATTTACACAACAAATCATAATTAGTGACCAAATGTGTGACTTGTGTTTCATTGATGCCGTGAACGAAGGCGTCTGGAGATAACGTGGCGTAAAGTGTGGCCACAATTGATCCAATTCTCATCAGCGCCTGACACGAGAGCAACCATTCGAGTCGTGTTTCGGCCAAAATCATGACAATATCTTTCGGTTTGATTCCGATGTGTAGAAAGCCTTTTGAAATGTTGTCCACTTTCGTATCGATTTCTTCGGATCGAAACCACTTATAATCACTTAATTTATATTTATGAAGAGGTCGTCCATCGATCGTCTTCTCGTACTCTTCAGCTAAGATCACACGACAACCAAATGCATACTTTTGTGGATTAATTTTGATCGCTTTAGAGAAGAGTTGGGGAACAGTAGAGCACTCGTCGACCAGACAAGCCTTTAAATGAGGATTTCCTTTGACACGAATCCATGGACTCGTCCGCGAACTCGGGTCCAATTGAACGCCTCTTATTTTGACAAACCTTATGGGCATATATTGCACACACTTTGGCCCATATATTGTGAGTCTTGAAATTGAATACATTTTCCAACACTTTATTCAGAATTAAGAAAATACGAAACTTTTGTCATTAAATCGAAGACTATTCAGAATATAACACTTTTCATGACACAAATTATAGGAATTTTTTAACGCGAATTTGTTTTTTGGTTAACATTTAATTTAAATGATTTCGCGTGAAGTTTGAATCAGTATTATTGTAGAAATATATCTATTGTTCACAAACATAATTGTCACCCGATTTAAAACTAAAACAATACATACAAAACAATAATTTAATACAAAAGTATTTTAAACATTACTTTAATAGTTGGATTATAGATGAATTAAAAAACAAATGTCAGTACAAATTGGATATAAATAATAAAAATAAGTCAAAAGCTTTTATAATTAAATGAAAGTGAAGTTAAAAGATCGAAAGTGTTAATCATTTTCTAAAAATAAAAACCAAATTAGATGTTAACGAAATGTTTGCACGAATCACTTGCACGAAAATAATGCTTTCAAATCGATCTAAAAACACATTTTTAGAAATGAATAACAATTAGTTTTGTATTCATTATGAAATTATTAACAAAAATTCAATTATAAATTCAAATCAAATACCGTCTCCTTTTCCAAGTCAAAGAAATCTTTCTTTAATTTATAAGCGGATCCCTTGTTGTCCGCCAAATAATAATCGTTACCCTTTCGGAAAGCGCCGACCACTAAGGCGTGCGAAACCAGTACATTGTCTTTCATATAATCACTATCGGAAGCATCCCATGTATCCCAAGGTTTACTCAAATACTTCTTAAACACTTTACATTTGTTTTGGTTTCCAACCATTTGGGCAAACATTACGATCATATTATCGCTCTTTACAAATAAACTTCCGATATATTTGAGGACACTTTCACTACAAACACGAGTTTTAGAGAAAAATCAAATGGTAATAAACAAAGAGGTAAAATGTGATCAAACCTTGGATTAGGAGGCGACGGATAATCGACTCCCGGCCACGAACTTCGGGCCACCGATTGATTAGCTCTGAGTTCATAGGCGTAACCACCGATATAGTCATCGAAAGCCATTTTGTTTTGAGGACCTCCTCTTAGCATTGAGTATATCTGTCGTCCACTACTCTTCTCCTTCACGTAAAACAAGAAGAATGTTTGGTCCATATATTGGTTGAATAGACACATCTCTTTGTCAGCGTTCGAGTCACACGTTTGCGGAACCGATTCAATGGCGAGTCCCGTATGAATGGATTTGATGCCTATCTCTTCGACTGAAATTATCAATAAAATATGTTAACAATCATTGAATGAATGTCTAAAAGGAGGCTTAAGCGGGAGAGTGAAGACCTGGGAATCGGTTTTTCACTTTATTTGGCGGCGAAGAAATTTGATTATAGCGGTCCTGCGGGTGGAATGTCCAGAATAGGTCGTCATTAATCACGAAGACGTGGTCCATGTAATTGAATACGGATGTGATGTCTGCGGAAGTTTTGGCACAATAGTTGGCCGACACTTGCCATACATTAGCCAAAAACAGGACACAAATAGCGATAGTTTTAATTGTGATTTCCATTATTTGAATGTTTTTGGCGATAGATTTAGGAATAATTTATTTGACGACAAATATTGAAATACAAGAAATGGTTGATTGAATGGCAAACAAATGACCGGTAAAAAAGTTTTCAAATATTCTGTAATGCATTACAGTATCTCGTGATATGAATTTAGTGTTTGGTTTAAAGTTTTACTCTACAGTAGTTTGTATTGCCGTGGGTTATAGAGCCTTACTATCACCGCAAACAGGGCCTATTGGACAGTCGTCTAGAGTTTGGTGTGAATCATACGAATACCAGTGCTATTAATTGTAATAATATTTATTGATTTATTTAACTGTAATACAAATGTTATGAAAATACTGACAATAAATGAATTCAAGTGTCGATCGCAACAGATATCTGTATTTGTAAACAAAAATAGGAATATTTCACGAATAAATTTTTTATGAGAAAGTGATTAGAGATTATAAATCAATCATATTTTCAACAAAACATTGACTTAATTATTGTTAAGACTAAAACTCTTGAGATGAGGGATAAGAGACATGATCTCCGATTCGCTTTCGTTGTTTTGCATCACTTTTGTAAATATCTTTTCGACCAGATTTTGTCGCTCAAACTCTTTGGATCTCTTGAATGCGTTTTGGATGACATTACGGGGCAGACCCGCAATCATGGCTGCGTTGAAGCCGTAACTCTTGGGACACGAGTCGTGTTTGAGTTTATAGAGGAATGTGATGTTCTCTTCTGTCGGATCGCTTTCGTTCTCATTCTCAATCATACAGGCCTTCAGTTTCACAAAAACAATCCATTACTAAAATATTTACAAATTTAGTGTTTGTCATACCATATGAACCAATTTGACGGACGGATTATCTCTAAACTCATCCACTAAAGAGTGGTAATGGGATGAGAATAATGTGCGACATTTGATGTTTTCGCTCAACTCTTTAGTGACCGCACAGGCGATGGCTGTTCCGTCAAATGTTGACGTTCCCCGACCTGTACTCGCGGTGACAAAACACACACATATTTAGAATTAAAGTGAAATAAGCATAAAATGCAAAAACAATACCCAATTCATCAATTAAAACGAGCGAATGTTTAGTCGAGTGTTTCAATACAACAGCCGTTTCGCTCAGTTCTGCATAAAATGAGTCCACAAATCAATAAATAGTTTTAAACATAAAGACTCAGTGAAAATACATACCGACAAAGAAAGTACTCTCGCCCTCAACGATACGATCAAAAGCTCCGAGTCGTGTGAATATGCGGTCCACTGGACTCAGCGAACACTCCTTCGCCGGAACGCAAGCGCCTAAACATTAATACAAATCAATAAAAACAACACAATTCATATGATTATCGTTTGAATACCAATCTGTGCCATAACGACAATGAGTCCCAACTGACGCATAAGAGTACTCTTACCGCCCATATTAGGTCCGGTCACCAGAAGGAGTTCGCTCTCAATCTTGATATCGTTTGGGATAAAGTTTTCGCAGTACTTAAGTAGACATGGATTTCGGGAATCGACTAAATCAACAAACGGTGTCTTTGAATGACTGAACTTCGGAAGACATACAACCGAACGGTTCTGTTGAAGGAATGATCGACTCTTTGAGAGACTCAGAAACACGTCCAGCAATGAAAGACAATTCGTCGCTTCCAACCAAATGCTGTAATTATTATCAAACGCTTCGAAAATTCTTCGCATAACGTCCCGAAGGACGGCGTCTTTCTGGTCTTCGGCTGCCATTAACTCTTCAAATCGTTTTCTCGTAAAAGGAGTTGAATAGCGTTTATAGCCTTTGCGTGAACTCTCCAACTGATAGTCGTTGTTTTCTTTGCCTATCCTTTTGGTCGCACTCTCCGGCACTTCCAATTGGTATCGATTTTTTCCGGTCCCGAAGTAAGTCACGTTACAGCCGAAGAACTTTCGCTGTTCGACCAAATAGTTGTCCAACTTTTTAACAATGGATTCCTCTCTCTCAACGCAATCATCGAACTCAGGATCGGCGCCCGTGTGTGGCAAAACACGTCCCTCTTGTCTGGCCTTCTTGTGGTCAAACGCATTGTCAAAGAATGTGAGTTTTCCCTTCAAATCGGGAAATCCTTTTCCATTATCATTGCGTGATGACAAACATGTCTTCAAAATGGAAGACCCGAACGATTCGATGTGTTTCTGAAACGATTCAACAATTTTCACCGATTCTTTAAAACCGTCCAAAACGGATAAAAAGTCCAATATTTTGCGTTTATTATAAAAATCCATTTCAAAGAATATGGCTCTCGAGTCCGGATGGGTTTTGGCCCGTTTAGCAGATCCTTGGCTATGGATTTTGTTCAGCAGTCGCTCTAAATCTGGTAATTTTTTCAACGCTTTGATTGTCTGATCGATATCATAGCGAATGTTAACGTTTGACAGATCGGTGACAGCCCTCTGGCGGTCCTCTATCTTAGAAATATCGCAAAGTGGAGAACAAATCCATTTGTGGAGAAGTCTTCGCCCGAATGGTGTCGAACAGAAGTCCAATACTTCGCAAAGTGTGCCTTCAGTGCCGCCCAAACTGTTGTGAAATATCTCCAAATTTCTGAGAGTAAATGAGTCGAGAATCATATGTTCGGGCAATTTATCGCCCGTTTCGTCGGTCACCTCACGGTTCGTATCACAGGGTATGTACTCTTCCATCAGTTTCATCGACAGAACTTCGTCTGCGATCAGAGATTCAGTACAGACATCGATGACGGCTCCCAACGCACGGATAGCCAATTCGTATTGAGGTTTAGCCGTCTGTTTAAGAGAATCGGTTTCGTCAACCATTGCGTTCAGCACTTGCGGCAGATCTCCATTAAAAACGTCGCTTTCAGTCAAGTGTTTCAATGTGTTCTTCGCGGACCAGAACTCTTTCTTGTGCTCTTTGCGCGCATTCGGCGCACAATTCTCTAACAACTGTTTAGTTTTAGTCGACAGACCCTTGCGATCCAATATCAGTTCGACGGGAGTGTTGTGCGCGATAAGTGTCCGCAAACGGGAACAGTATCTGTCGTCCGAGAACTGACACAAATTGAATTTCCCGATCGAAACGTCGATAAAACAAACGCCAAAATCCACACCACTTTCAGTTGTCTATAATTACATATTATTTTAGTATAAAATACAGAATATAAACACAATAATACTCACGACTTCTGTGATGGCCAACAAATACGAGTTTTGATCGGAGAGCATATCGGCGTCGATTACAGACGCCATTCGGGTGCCAATAGAGGCCACTCGACACACCTCTCTATTGACTACTCTATCAAATTTAGTTGACTTTTTAGTAGAAGCCTTAACCCTGTCCTCCATCATCGCCGGTGTCTCCGTTTGTTCAATTCGGGCCACTTTATAGCCCTTCTGTATGAGTACATCGGCGTAGCGTTTGAATGCCTTCTCGGGAAAGCCGGCGTGCGCTGAGTCGCCCCTCATGTATATAATCTTCAGCTCATTGACGGCTAAAACGGCGTCCATGTGATAGAGTTCGTAGAATTTGCCCACTTTGAAGAACAGCACCGTATCGTAATGTTGACACTTAAATATCCACCACTGCTTCAACGCTGGCGTACAACTAATCCATACATTATATACAACATTAAAGTTAATTATAATTGAAAACAAATTTAAAATATCAAACTTTTAGTAGTAATTACTTGTTTAGAAAGCTCTCGGGCACTGACAGAGTGGTCGCGTCGTATTCGGGGTTCACTTCGCCGTTCAATAGTCTAAATCTTCCCTTTTTGTCCTTTAGTTTCTCGGGCTTCAGAAACTCATAGCTATAGTGCGTCCACTCTTTGGCGCCGCTCTGTTCGTTGGTGTAGTCGACAACTGACACGAAAGACTCTTCGCCGACAGACATAACACTTTTGTTGAGTTTCTTAGCACTAGATTTAGGAGTGGATAACGAACGGCTCTTTGCCTTTGAATTCGTCGGTTTCGCGGAACTCAGTTTCTCTGATCTCTGTGTCAACCAATTGCTCTGTTTATTCTTCGGCGTCGAAATTTCCGCTTTTGCTTTAGATTCAGTGTTTGACACTTCGGAATCAGATTCTGTGTTCCGATTTTTCGACTTATTTGTTGGCTTTTTCTTTGGTTTGCTGTCAGAATCCGATGAATCAAAATCAGATCCAAGACTTATAACATCAGATTCTGTGTTCCGATTCTTAGATTTATTTATTGTTTTCTTCTTTGATTTGCTGTCAGAATCCGATGAATCGAAATCAGATCCAAGGCTTAGAACATCGGATTCATCAGAAGAAGTCATCCTTTTCTTCGACTTTTTATTAGATTTTTAGATTTATTTATTGTTTTCTTCTTTGATTTGCTGTCAGAATCCGATGAATCGAAATCAGATCCAAGGCTTAGAACATCGGATTCATCAGAAGAAGTCATCCTTTTCTTCGACTTTTTATTAGATTTTTGTTTCGATTTTTTCGATGACTTCTTTGATTTGGAACTACTTTTCGATTTCGATTTGGAACCGCTCTTTGATTTCGAGCTCTTATTTCTTTTGCTTTTGGGCTCAAAATCAGACAAATCTGAGTCTTCGTCCAAATCCGATAGATCCAAGTCCTCGTCAGAGATTTGTTTCACGTCTTCGTCATCACTAGAGTCGTCGTCTTCTGAGCTAACTTTGAACTCCTCATCACTTCCGGCGGAATCGTCTTCACTCGAGTCCAAAGCGATTCGTTTAAACTTCTTTCTGTCAGTCTCTCTATGGCTGGCCTTTCGCTTCAAATCGGACTTCGGCTCCAATTTATCAGTATTTGCTTTCGGACTCTCTTTCTCAGCGCTGGAGCTCTTATTCGGAGAACTCTTTGACACTTTCTTAGGAGTCGTGACCTCAGGCTCGGCGTCGCCGCCGCCGGTCTCCATGTCCTCGTCATCGGTAGCCCTGAGATCGGCGATCAGTGTATACCTGTCCTCGACATCCATTTTGAGCGCCTGATCGGCGAACTCTATCGCCTGATTCCACTTCTGGTCTTTAAGTAGCGGTACGTCTGACTTGTGTTTCCCGAAGTACTCCTTCAGATCTCGGAAGCGAATCCACGCTCTGCTCACCGGATCGTCAAAGAACTGGACGTGAATTGACACCGCTTTGCCCTTACGTTTGACGTGTGTGTTAGTCGACGGGTGAAGACACACAATGGACGGCCACCACGGGTACCTGTTTGGGACACAACACACCCGTCAGCACAGGTGGACAACTGGTGGACAACACATACCCCTCGAGTTTGGCCCAAACCAAGTCATACAACTTGTAGTGATTCTCAATGCCATTGTCTGAGGACTGGGAACCGGTGGCCGACGTTGTGGTGGCGGTGGGAGTGATGGCAGTCGTGCGGCCACTGGTCTGTCCGTTATGTCCGCCATTTGCCGGCCTATTGTCGGCGGGTTTTGCGTCCGCTTTGCTGTTGTCGTCGCTTTTCTTGAAGTAATTCAATAAAGTGTTGCTTTGTTTGGATCTATTCATCGCCGGTGTCTTTGTGTGTCGTTTTGTTGTTATGTTTTGATCACTCAATGAATGAATGAAAACATTGCGAAACCAGACGTGAAATGCAAACAAAACATACGATTCGCTCAACACTTGTGTTCAATGAATGGATTGATTGAAAACACATTGAATTTAAAGGCGATTCACTTCACAGTTGTTTTGCAACACATTATCATTACGTCATGTGTTGTGACAAACACTGCAAAAGTGGTTCACTTTTGGCGCCAATCCATTGAAAGCCAATACAAAACAGGTTTACGTTTTGAGCGACAAATTTGAACACATTTTTTGTGCAAAGTTTTGAAACTTTATTTGAGTTTTAATTAAATTAATTCATATTTTGCTTAAAAGTTATATTCATTTAACTAATAGTTATGAAAAAAGTACACAATATTTGGTTTTAATAACACTTTTATTACTTTGAAATGATATCTAAAATGAATACTTTTTTAATGAACTGATTTTGAATGTCTAAGCATTTGCTGGAATCGCTTCTTCAACTTCTTTGGTTTCTTTGGCGCTCAAGACATTGGACTCGATTCGGACGAAGCCTTGGAAATGACAGACTTGTCGGCCGTCGAAGTGGAAGAATGGGCTGAAGAATGTGATCCCAAAGTGATGTCCGAATCGGAGGCTTCGATGTCTAAATCGGAGAATATTTCGACAAAATCTGAATCCGAATCACTCCATGAAATCGATACCACTTTTGACATCTTCTTCGATGTCTGCAAACTCTGTGATGTCATGTCGACTGACGAGAGATCGCTTCTCATACTGGCGTCCATTGCGTCCATTGCTTGTGGTTCTGATCCGGCGTTTCTCTTCTCAATCCAATCCGAAATCCAAACGTAATCACCGAATGAATCGCACGACTCGCTCGACAAGAAGTCACTACTCATATCACTTTGAATCGGGTTTTCGTCCGATTTTTGGCCACAATTTTCAAGTGAAAGAGAACTCAACGACAGATCACTGGTTAGGACACTGTCTGAAGCGACGGACGTGTTGTCAGACCAATCGGATGGCAAAGACAGCGGATGTGAAGCAATTGGAGGACTCTTTTCCGAAGATGGACTCGACGTCGAAGAATCGGTTTTCGCCTTTTCATTGGCGTCTGATTTGGCACTCAAAGACCAATCACTGGACCAGTTCTCCGAAGTGAATGACGAGATTCTGTTGGCTTTGTCTGAGTCTGAATTCTCGTCCAATAGATCCGGAGTCGACGGCGCCTTTTCTGGAGAGCCGTAGTGATAGGAAGCCATCGGCGGTATATCGACGCCATTGTAAAGACACAAACCATCATTTGGTTGAAGTTGTGAATCGTTGTCATTGAGTGCAAAGTCTTTGTCCGATAGATTCAACTCTTTGTCCAATTCTTTGCACAATTTGTTTTCATTTTCATATTCTTGTAATGTCTTGGATTGTGATTCTCTATCTTCTTCAGCCATTCTTCAGTGTGTCTTAAATTTGGATTCTCAACGAATTTTGAGTGACTTTTGAAATGTGATAACAATTAGAGTGAAATCGTGACAAACATTCAAATGGTTTGAATTGTGAAAACTGTTGTAAGAGTTGATGTGTTTTATTGTTTAATTGCAAGACATATATCTCGCTATCCGTAAATCAATTGTTGTATGAATTGAAAAACTGTTGAAAAACGAAAAATTGAATTCAATTCAAAATTGTAGCCAACAGTCAAACAAACAGAGAATCGTTGTCTTAAATCAAAGACTTTTCATTTGATTTGTGGATTAGTTTTTGATATCAAAAGACTTGCAAATGGGTTGTTGCGGATCAAAGAAAGAAGAAGAGGCGGCGCCTCCACCAGCAGACGGAGCGCCGCCGGCAGACGCGCCGCCACCAGAAGGAGAAGCCCCGCCAGCGGACGCCCCGCCCGCCGATGGGGGCGCACAACCGGCTCAGTCACCCGCAGCGCCGTCAGGAGCAGCCGCGCCCGCCTCCGGATCCAAAGCTGGTTCGTCCGCCGGTCCGTCCAAAATGTCAGGAATGGCTTCGGGAACCTCTGGCACTGGTTCTTCGACTTCAGGAATGGGAAAATCGGCCGTTTCCTCGACATCAAAGGCCGGGTCCTCGATGTCAGCGATGTCTGGCTCCGGAAGTATGGTTAGGAGTGAATTGCCCGGCAGTACGGCTGGAGGTTCGACCGTTGGCTCCAAGACAAGCGCCGCTCCCGGCTCTACACTCAGCGGCTCGAAGGCAGGCTCAGCAGCGCCCGGATCACAGGCCGGATCCAAAGTGGCCTCAGCCGCCGGTTCGAAGGCCGGGTCCACCACAGGAGCGCCGGGATCTAAGGCGGGGTCACAGACGGGAG